TTGCAACTTCTTGATAGCAACTTATCCGAAAGTTTTCCACTTCCTATACTTAATCTTTCGTCACTCACTTATCTATCAATTGCTATGAATCAGTTTTATGGTAAAATCCCATTCAATATTGGCTTTACAAATCCTAATCTCCAATATCTTGCAATTGGCATTAACTATTTTTATGGGGAGATACCAACTTCCTTACTTAATATGTCAAAGCTAATAGTGGTGAGCTTACCATTCAACAATTTGAGTGGAGTCATACCTTCAAACTTGGGAAGCCTAAGGAATCTTCAACACCTAGGGCTTGCTGCCAATCAATTGGAACCTCCTGAAAATGAAGGCTTGGGTTTCCTAACTTCTTTAACCAATTGCAGCAACCTCAAAGCATTGCATTTGGGCGGCAACAATTTCAAAGGTGAATTGCCTACTTCAATTGCTAATCTTTCAACAAAGCTTGAGTATTTGTGGATGGGTAAAAATCAGATTTCAGGTAAAATTCCCAAGGAGATTAGGAACCTAGTTGGGTTAACCTCACTGGATATGAGTATGAACTATATTACAGGTGAAATTCCTTCTAGTATTGGCAAACTAGACAAGTTATCTAGACTTTATCTATTTAGCAATAGAATTTCAGGTCTCATCCCATCCTCACTTGGGAATATCACCCAGTTGCAAGATTTGGAGTTGGATGGCAACAATTTGAGTGGCGTAATTCCTCCTAGTTTGGGAAATTGTTCCCAACTTGAAAGAGTTTTTCTTGACAACAATTACCTGTTTGGAATCATACCAAAACAACTCTTGAGCTTATCTTCAATGATTAACCTCTCGATGTCATGGAATTCGTTTATGGGAGAGTTGCCTTTAGATGTGGGTAAAATGACCCACTTAGGGGGTTTTTCTGTTTCACACAATAGACTGTTAGGAGCAATTCCAAGCACCTTGGGAAAATGTTTGATGCTAGAAGACCTTTGGATGCAAGACAACTTCTTTGAAGGAAGCATTCCACCTTCATTTAGTGCTTTGAAAAACCTTAAAGACCTAGATCTCTCCAGAAATAATTTGTCGGGCCAAATTACAAAATATCTCCAAAATTTCACTCTGTTGCAAAACCTAAACTTGTCCTTCAATCACTTTGAAGGAGAAGTACCAATTGGAGGGATCTTTAGAAATGCAAGCATTATTTCAGTTCATGGAAATCAAAGGCTCTGTGGAGGTATTCAACAATTAGGACTTCCTCTATGCGAGATTCAAGGAATGAAAAAGAAAGGGAAGTTCCAACATTTGAAGGTGGTGATTCCAATAATCGTTTCATGCTCACTATTCTTGATTGTGGTTCTTCTTGTTATTTTTTCATACAGAAAGAAATCTAAAAGGAGATCTTCTACCACTATGCAAGAGAAAGAATTTTTTCCACAAATTTCTTATGCAGAGCTCAGTCAGGTAGTTAATGAGTTCTCACCATCAAATTTGGTAGGCAAGGGAAGTTTTGGTTCTGTCTATAAAGGAATTCTAGTTGCAAATGGAATGATGGTTGCAGTAAAGGTGCTAAATCTTAAACAGAAAGGGGCTGCTAAGAGTTTCTTGGCTGAATGTGCAGCATTGAGCAACATTCGACATCGAAATTTAATAAAAATCATAACTGTTTGTTCGAGTATAGATTTTAAAGGAAGTGATTTCAAGGCTATCATTTATGAGTTCATGCAGAATGGAAGTTTAGAAGAGTGGTTGCATCCACATGAAAATCAAGGAGTGGGAGAATTCAACTTCATCCGGAGACTGAATATAGCCATTGATGTTGCATTTGCACTTGAATATCTCCACCACTATTGCCAACCAGCTATAGTTCATGGAGATCTTAAGCCAAGCAATGTTCTACTTGATCATGACATGGTTGCACATGTGGGTGACTTTGGGATGTCAAGAATATTTCGAAACGAGAGCAGTCATAGCATTGCTTCCAAAGAACAGAACAGCTCCATTGGAATAAAAGGAACAGTTGGTTATATTCCCCCAGGTAAATGTTACTTAGTTGTATTAATAAATTTCACCGTTAATTCACTTATTATACTGGATTTACCATTATGTGGTCATGTGTACCTATTAACACAATGCACAAACAAAATGTAGAATATGGCATGGGTAGCAAGACATCTATGGAAGGAGATGTGTATAGTTTTGGAATTATGTTGTTAGAGATGATTACAGGAAAGCGACCAACTGATCCTATGTTCAACGATGGTTTCAACATTCACCAATTCACCAAAATTGCATTGCCAGAGAGAGTGATGGAGATTCTTGAACCCTCGTTATTACAAGAACTACATGTGACAAATAATAGTGGTATTGAACATTCCAGGGCAAGGAACAACATGGGAAGAAGAATTGGTGTTTTGGAAAGCTTGTCAGAAGTTGCAAGAGTGGGAGTCTTCTGCTCAATGGAGTCTCCAAATGAGAGAATGGAGATGAAAGAAGTTGTTGCGGAACTATCTGCCATTAAACACAGATTTCTTGGTGCTAGGAATTGATGCAACGTACGTTGACATGGCTCTTGTTTGTCTTTTGCTTTTTGTTTCCCTTTTTGTTTTTTTAATTGAAATAAACCCAAGCCCATTTCTTAATAGGGCCTGGACCTTTTTTATACGCCTGTGCCATTGCTAGCTTTATGGCATTTTCTTATTAGTATATCAATATATAGAACGTTATACATGAAGGAATCTATTATCCTTCTCTAATATAAAAGGGGATGTAAATTTTCAAGTCTACTTGCATAAAAAACCAAAACGTGTAGGAATATTTATCACAAAATTTAAATATTATTAATGAGTCAATATGAATGAGTGATTCATTAAGAGTATTTAAATATTTCACAAGCATTCCTACATCCCTTTTTTTTTAGATCAACATAAAAATCATTTTTATATAGTATCTAAAAATCCTTATTAAGGCAAATAAAATAATTATTATACTTGTGACACACCTGGTATCAAACATCTTAATTTCATTGGACTAAAGATGTTCTCTTCTCTTCCCTCCCTTCAATTTTCCTCTAACAAAACAAGCTAACAATACTAAACGAGTCCTTAGTATCAGTTAAAAATATTTTTTTGTTAGTTTCAGGCCTGTTGTAAGGGCCATTTACGAAGGAACTATTTAAAAAATTTTTTTACTACTTTTGCAGATTTTTATTTACAAATATAGATATAAAAAAAATGTGGTCATGTGGAAGAAAAACTCTCTTAACAATAGTAGTGATAAAATTAGAACATAGCATTTTATATTTTTACATAAAAATAAAAAATTTGTCTAACATGTATCCTTAAATTACTGCAAGTTAAAGATACAATAAATATATTTTTTTATATTATTTCATATTAAAAATTATAAAAATTTACACATTTTAATATCACTGATACGTAAATGATTTTAATTGATTAAATCAAAGTCAATATTTATACTTTTAACAAAAATTAATTATAGAAAATATATTTATTGTACCTTTATCTTATGCAATAAGGGCACAAAATAAAAAAAATCCAAGAATAAAAAGTAAATGATGATTAAATTTGGATAGCATTATTTAGTATTCTTTATGTAAAAATTAAAAAATTTATATATTGAAACCAAAAAAGTTCTAAACACAACAACTAAACTAGCAGTTGGAATTTATAAATTTCTAAACCAAAGTCCACTCTTGGTCTCTCTCCCCATGCATATCTTCTGTCCCTAAAGAAGAAAGAAGGACAAATGTTGCAGAATAAATGCAATAGCCAATAATTGAGGGATATCCACGAACCAAGGCGACGACCTCCACATTTATATAACTACCTCAATTTACTTTGAAGTTGAAGCTATGCTTTCCCTTACATGGAAAATGGGGAAACTGGTTTGGTTCCACACATTCCAACAACAAATCCTGCCTTGATGCCACACTGCTAAAATGGCAACCTAAACCATCTGCCTCAAAAACAATCAGGAGAGTCTGCGAGGGTTGACCCAATCGGAAAAATTTAAATGCTTCAATGTTGTTACTTTATATATTCGAGCCTCACTGGTGATTAAACTTAAGGTATGCTCTTAAAATGAAATAGCTTGTGCTTTTTAATGTGTTTAGGAATCTGAGCTATGGCACTTTGGTGTAATAGTAAAAGAACAATCGTGAGAATTTATATGCTTGTATTGATGTAACTGTAAGACATGTTTATGGGTTCGAGTATTTTTGTACCTGTTAATAAATTTTTAATTTTAACTTACTAATATATATATATATATTCATTCGAGTCTCACTGACAAGAATATGCGAATAGGCTAAATTCCATTGTAAACTAATGGCATGCCCTTTTCTTGGACTAAAATAAACTCCCCTCACCCAAAACTTTCATGTACAAAGAAAAAATCAAAAGGGCTGGGACATAGAAAATCAACAGAGAAACAGGGTGAATCTATATTTCCTCGTACGAAAATATAGTGCCGGGTCTCTGCTTTTATTCTGTCTCATGGATGGTGGTGCATTGTATTGTACCTCTTTCTTGGGGCCATATATATTTGGCATGTGTCTTCCTTACTAGGTCCATTTAACTACCTACAGTTACTTGGCACTTATCCTTCTCAAGTTCTCCTTACTTTATCCCTTGAAAATTTCCAAACTCCTTGGTTATGTTTGGATTTTCTGTTTTTATCGTGTTAGGTTATACTTATTGAAAATCCTGCGCGCTGTCATGGTGTGGCCCATCAACATGACCCTCAGGTAAATTCTCCCACTAATCATCTCTCTTCCTTCTTACCTCCTATGGTCCAATGTCCCCCAAATCTTTAATCTCCATCTCATACTCGTGAGCCCTCCTACCCACCCATAGTCAAGGACCCAAGCCACACATATTTGAATCCTTCAACCCCAGCCCATCCCACCTCCAACGAACCACACCTAGAACATCTATCCTCCACTCATGGCTTTCCTCGGGCCCATTTGCCCTAACTTCCCTCATCCCCGATCCAACAAGTTTCCTCCAGTCCCTCTATTACCTCTTCCAGTTCCACTTCTTCACCTACATTGTCTGCTCCTCACCCCACCGGACCTACATGAACTCACAATATGACCACCCGTTCTCAAAATAATATCTTTAAACCTCTCACTCTATTCCTTGCCACAAAGCACCCTCTCGACAGTTCGATTGAACCCACTTGTGTAAGTCAAGCCTTGAAAAATCCTCAATGGCGTTAGGCCATGTCTGATGAGTTTAATGCTTTGGTTAGACAGGGTACTTGGGAACTTGTTCCTCACACTGATGTTCAAAATGTCATTGGCTGTAAGTGGGTGTTCCGTGTCAAACGGAATAAGGAAAGTGGTATTGACCGATACAAAGCACGTCTTGTGGCTAAAGGATTTCACCAACGACCTGGGTTCGATTACTTTAATACCTTTAGCCTGGTGATCAAACCTACAACAATTCGTACAGTGCTTTCGTTGGCTGTGAATAAACACTAGCCTATTCACCAATTGGATGTTAATAATGCCTTTTTGCATGGGAAGTTGGAAGAGGAGTTGTTTATGAAGCAACCACCAGGTTTTGTTGATAGCTCTTAGCCCCAACATGTTTGCCGCCTTCGTAAGTCCATTTATGGTCTCAAACAGGCTCCTCGTACTTGGTACCAAGAGCTTAAAAAATTTCTACTTCAGCATGGGTTTGTGAACTCCCAGTCTGATTCTTCCCTGTTTATTTTTCATTATCAGTCAGAATGGGTTTATTTCTTAATTTATGTTGATGATATTATTGTTACGGGCAGTACCGAGAAGCCAGTTGAATCAATTATCTCCTTAATGGGTGCCACCTTCTCTATCAAAGATTTGGGTTGCCTCAATTATTTTCTTGGAGTGAATGCTATCTTTACCAATGCTGGTCTCTTTTTGTCACAAGCTCAATACATCCGTGAGCTATTGGCCAAGTTTGACATGAGTGATGCTAAGCCTGTGCAGTCCCCATTGTCCACTGTCTCGTTGCAATTACATTAAGGAAATCAGCTCTCTGATGCTCAACCGTATCGTCAACTTGTTGGTTCTTTGCAATACCTTGCTCGTACTCGGCCGGATATCTCTTTTGCTGTCAACAAATTATCTCAGTTTCTTCATGCTCCATCTGATGTTCATTGGCAAGCTGCAAAGCGGATTTTGTGGTATCTTAAAGGTTCTTTATTTCATGGTCTTCTTCTTTGTTAGCAGCCGATCTCTCCTTTACATGCCTTTTCTGATTCAGATTGGGTTGGGGACAAGGACACTTATCATTCTACAACTGGCTATGTGGTGTTCCTTGACAGCAATCCCATTTCTTGGCGAGCATGCAAGCAGAAAACTATTGCTCGCAGTTCCACCAAGGCAGAGTACCGTGCACTCGCTGCTGCTTCTTTTGAATTGGTTTGGATTAAGCATCTACTTCATGAACTTGGCCATCCTGTATCTGAATGTCCTGCCATTTACTGTGACAATGTTGGAGCTACCCATCTGAGTAGCAATTCAGTAATGCATACCAGGATGAAGCATATAGCAATTGATCTCCATTTTGTTTGGGAACTAGTTGATCACAAGGTCCTTCGAGTGAGCCATATCTCCACTGTTGATCAATTAGTCGATGGCCTCACCAAACCACTTTCATCGCGTCGTTTTGCTCAACTCCAAACCAAGATTGGAGTCACTGATGGGAGCTCCATCTTGAGGGGGCGTATCAAGGAAATCACTGCTGATTGAGCGAGATTGTTTCCATTGAGCGAGATCTGCTGATTAAGCGAGATTGTTGCTATTCAATATCCCTGATTTGATCTGTATATATTGTAATAATGACTAGGATATTTACCTAGTATATAGCTGATTCAGTTTCCATTCTTCTTGGCTGTAATACATGTATATATTACCATGAAATCAAAGTACAAGTCACGATTCCTGAAATATTACTTTTGATACTCTATTAGTGGTATCAGAGCCTAGGTTCTACCTGGAAAGCCCGTTGTTAGCCCACCTGACAGGACCCGAAGTTGATACCGGGCCAGCATTTAAGGGGGCGTGTTAACCCACGTGACAAGACCCGACATTTATAGCGAGCTTGCACGTGAGGGGGCGTGTTAAGTGGGAAAATCCCATATCAAGTATAAAAATAAGAAGCTTGTGGGTTAAATATAAGGTGGGCTACTCCACCTATTGCCAATTGGTTTAAGTTGGATGCAAATCTTGTGTTGAGCCCACATGCACAGTTTTCAATAATACTATCTTAGATTCATCTTTAAAATAAATTCATCTTTCCTGTTCTGGATTCTAAGTAGTATCCTTTTTGTCCTAAAATAGTTGCCTTTCTTTAGTGAATTTAAACACAACCCAAACTAAAAAAACATTTGGATTACCGTTTTGAAAACAAATTATCAGTTATTGACTTAAATCAAATACTTTAAATATAAATAATAACAATTATCAATTATTATATATCTATTTTTAACTATTAACTTCATCTAAATTACTAATTCAAACACCCTTAAATTTATTTTAAAAATGACAATTATTTAAGAAATAAGGAGTATTATATAGCATTGACTAACTTCTTTCAGACAATTTTCTCTGTAATTAATATATTCCGGTGACACGATTGGACTTTGGTTTTTGAAACCTCACTCCGCAAGAGCCAAACGGGCGTATGGCCCTTATAGCTTGAATTGATCCTCTCTGCATCAAGGAAACAGAGTGATGCTGAAATGCGGTAATCCAAATTTAATTTCTACATTAGATTCATGCTATAAAATGGAGCAAATAACTCAGGTTCTAAATGGAGAAGTTGGATTAGTCGAATATAGATGCGGTGTTTGACCTTTGAAGTATGGACCATTTAATGCTCTCAATGCTGAAGGCCTTTTTGGATTTTTTTTTTATTTTTTTATACATCAAAAAAATTAGCTAATTAGCATTTTAAGAACATTGATATCAAATCACAAATTTTAAATTAATAAATATTAATCTGATTAAACTCTTATTAGTTGGACTTGAAATGGTTCTGACCATGAATCTGAGGCTGAAACTGTTTTCCTATCCAGGATTTGGGAGAGGGGCCAAAGCTGTTGCGGTGGTTCACTGCCGCACCCACTGTCCACCCTGCCTTCTGCAATGAGGAACGGAACGCCATGAGCGTATTTATGTGGTTGCTTTTGGCTTTTCTGCTCTCAATCTCATTCATGGTGCCTTGAAAATTTTGCTTAACTTGCCGCTAGGAAACAAAGCAAAGCTTCGTCCTTGTTCGTTTATGACTGTGACCTCCCCGACAGAGTTTACAGCCCTCTGTTTTTGAAATTTCCTAGTTCAAATATTCAACTCAATGTGGTACGCTACTTGTGTTGTCTCTTGTGCTTTAGTATATCTATCCAAATTCCAAAATACTACCAAAATCCAATGCTACAGCCTACAGATATACACCATTCAAAATACAGAATCAATGCCACAAATATTAGACATTAGCTTGCCAGCCTTTCGCCATAGGCGTTGATAATTTTCTGGATGTACAATATTTACAACTATAAGTTACAGGAATGAGATAAATATCTAAAATGTTGATTGTAGTCATTTTTAAATTTGTATGTCTAAAATGAAAAACAGTATTTTTAGAAGAGTAATTTTCTGGGTTTGTGCATGCAGGATTTCTTTAAATTTTTTTCTTAATTTATATTTATTTTATACTTGTAATAGTCTTGTAGACTTCATACTCTATATATAAAAAATAGTAAATTAATTAAATAATTGATGATGATATAGAGAGGGACTTGAAATGGCGTCTAGCATTTGGGTTGACAGGCTCAAGATGCAGCCCACCAATTAAAATGCCACTTTCAAATTGGACAGCAATTCTTGGAGGTTTTATTTCTTTCTTTCTTTTTTCTTTCTTTTTTTTTTTTAATTGAGAATTTGAATTTAGTGCACTTGTGGGAAAGACTAAAGAAATAGATAAGCTTAAGGCCCCGTTTAGTATAGCGGTTTTAGAGTAGTAGTTAGTGATTTTATCTAAACCGTTAAATATAGGTATTTGATAAATTTACATATTTCAAAACCGTTATAAATAAAGTATTTAGCGGTTTGAGACTAGCGGATAACGGTTAGAATCCAAATCGCTAGCGGATTGAAAAAGTGAGTTTATATAGTTTTTTGTACCGAATTGCTAACGGATTAAAATTTTTTAATTTTATTTACAAATTTATCC